GGACGCAGTCAGAACGAACGTAACTAATTTACCGTCCCTGTCTGAAAGAAATCGGAATTCTAAACTAAAGGTTTGTACCAGTTAAATAATGGAATTATAGGATAGACTTGTCCGATTCACTTTCTCTTCAGTATAGGCTACTTGACATGGCATCTTTTAACAATGACTTTTTTTCAATCACGTAATAATGGTTTACCTATTCTCTTTTCCCACGAACAATAACTGAGTGAATGACCTCTCTGAAAGCGGTGTTATGCAGCTATCGTTGTTGTTACTTGCATCCAATTTAAATTAGCTGTTTTTTGTACTGTATTTGGTGAAGTGGTAGTACAACTCGTTCTTATTTTTTGTTATTTTGGCCAATTTGTTGTATTTCTTTTTACCGCTGTACCCACCTGAGTTAATTCCATCAAGGAATTGCAGTATAAATAAATAAAAACCGACAAGTATTAAGCTTTAATTGCGGCTATAGAAACAAAATACTATATATTTCGTTTGTGTTTGCTGATAAACCACAATAACGCATTACCGCAACTAATAGTCAAACCAATTAGAAAGTTGTTTTGGAAAAAAGCGGTCTCTAATTTGCTGGATATCCAAAACATTCCTTCATTAAAATTTATGTAACATATTTTATAATAAACATGTCATATTAAAGTTCTATGCAATAAAAAAGCTGATTCACTCAAAACCAGCTGAACTAGAAAAAAACATACACATAAAGAAAAGACCATTCACACCGCTGGTGAATGGTCTTTTCTTTATGTGTATGTTTTTTTCTAGTTCAGCTGGCCTTCAGTGAACTATGAACCAACTAGCTCAGCTCAAGCCTGTTTGAGATTTCTTGTGTGTTAAAAGTGATTAAATTATCTTAAATAGGTCACACTTAAAAATTGCAAAACTTTTTTTTTTTTAAATCATTCGAGACAACGTTTTTTTCTGATTCATGCCAGAAATGGCATGTTTCATCACTTTTTATCTTGTTACTTCTCCACAAACTTTATTAGGGCACGTGTGCTACTCTGGAAATTGATTTATGTAGCTTAATTAATTGAAATATTGTTGTTCTAGTAATGTTTGAAAAAGAATATGTCACACTATAGCCATTTATAACGTTTGGAAAAGTTTGGTTTGTTTTGAGTGTGATCTATTTAAAGTATTTAATGAACTTGACATCATCAAAAAGCTAAGGTATGGTGGCTCCTTTTATTAAATACAAAATCGATATGATATCTAAAGATATGTCACAATCATATGAATGAACGAATGGTATGGAAAATCCAGCAAATTTTGAACCAATTTTTCTTAAATCCCAATTTTAATATTTCTTTCAGTTTTATTTCTTTCAGCATTGTTTCTTGACAAATATAAAGAGGAAATATAGTATTTGGTTTGAATTACCGCGATTGATGCTTGATTCTTAGCTGTACATTCTTGTGACTGCGCCCTGAAAGAGGTTCTACTCTGGCCAACATTCTGGCGTGGTACACCTAATTACCTAATATTAATACTTCAATAAACGCATAACCTTAAAAATAAGTCAAATCATGCGTAATACAGTGTAAAAGGTGTTTTACTCCTCAACAAAGTTTTCCGTTTTACAACACACATCTGTCATGGTTCAGGCTTTGATTACGCTGATAAAAACAAAATACTATAGTATAACATAAATATAGTTCCCAATAAACCGCTAGTAATCATTTCTACCAATGAAAAAGGAAATAAAAAATTGGGGTTTTGAAAAAGTGATTTTAAAATATTTTACTTTCTACATATTTGAGTTTATTGAAAAGAGCTAGATTTGAGCTTTGTGTTGATGTCAAACAGTGTTGGCGCTAACGCGTTACAAGTAACAGCGTTACCGGTAATTACTTTTTCCGGAAACGTAATAACGTACTTGTTACTTTTTGCAATACCAGTAAAACATTTTCGTAGACCGCGTTTCCCCTTCAGCTGAGCCCTCCGCAACAAAGAAGCCGCTACTGCGCTTGCGCGCCCATGGCCTTGACTGTAGAGTTGCGGCTATCGTAGCGGGTTGCGCGGAGAGCGTTGCGAGACGGCCAATACGATCTACGAAAACTCCCTAGTAATGGGTAAACTCGTTACGTTACCTATTTCAAGTAACGTAGTTACGTTACTCTATACGTATATTGTTTTCCAATACCTAAATAAGCGCACTTAAATTCATTCGTGGTTCTGTAACTTTTTTTTTATCATACGTCCAGACGTAGCCGACGCTCTGAGTTGATGGCGCCAATGACACGGCGTCAAACTTGGTGTTCGTTAGCCTGTCTTTTCCCCGCGCGAAAAGTCCCTCTTAAAAAAAAAAAACAACAACAACAACAACAACAACAACAATTTATGTTTACGCTTTTCGTTTCAGTGTCAAAAACGCTATTGCCAAGAAAAGCGCTGTTACCGTAAATTTAAAAATAAAGCGTAGCTCAAAAGTAACTTGCGTTACATTTGATCGGTAACAGTAGCGGTAGCGGTTTTTTTTTTATTTTGAGGTAAGGTAGGTCGGTAACGCGTTCCTTTATTTTGCAAGGAACGAGCAGCGTGTTTTGTAAACTTTTTTCGCTAACACGTACAACTCTGTGTCAAGGTAATTAAAATATCTTAAAGAGATAGCACGTAAAAACTTGCCATCTGTGCTCAAATAATGAAAGGAACACAGTTCAACTTTTTTTTATTATTCCAGAATATAAGATTATTTGCGAGTCCTCGAGCCTAATAAAATCTAATTGAAGAGTGTCAGAAAAAAAAATCTTAAAAAAATTAAAAAAGAAAAAAACAAAAACAAAAAAAAAGAAAAACAGAAAAACAGCGAGGCGGTCGAACATGGAATGACCGACTGGTGAGAGAAGTCTTCGCCTCGGTCGTTTCAATGGTCAATGACTCAAAAACAAACACTCCATCAAGTTTGCCGTTTCCGCTGTCTTTCATTTCGAGAATGCTCCCAAAACATTTTCTTTGTTAAAAATTAAAAATTCGACTTCGAAACCGTGTATGGATTGAGATCAAAAGACCCATTAGCAGTGTGACCACTACTTAATATAAGAGTAATAACCAGGGTGTTTCATTTTAAGGATAACATATTTGTTTAAAATAAAGCAGTAAGAGCTGCACTAGCGCGGTTTCTACAGGTGAGTTATGCGGCAAGGGGTACATGATATATAGAGGCGCAACCGTAACCATAAGGTGAATATTTATCTAAAATTTGTTAATTAACCTTTTAGTTAGTGACTAATTGTTCCAACTAACAAGTTGTTGAGCGTCATTGAAAACCACTAAATCAATAATTTGACGAAAAACTGAAGGCATGGGAAGCGAAGTAGTGCTTCTTGCTCTTACCACTCCAGCAACAGGCGAAGGCTGGGGTGAATACGCGGATTATAATGAGACGTTATCACACCAGTAGCCTCGCTCCTGCTGCACGAGCGATAAATTGAGCGATCCACCTTGCTTCGCACGTGCTCCAAGTTTTTCTTATATTGCCACGCGCGTCGCCCAAGGAGCGCAGGCGAGTGGTCACCGTGCTTGCCCTCTGTGCGGAATCCCCGGGTTCGATTGCTGGGAGCGGCGCGTCCTTTATTTCTTCTTTCAATTTAGCCTTCTCGTAAGTTTGAGAGCCTTGTCGTCTGATCGAGGTGCGAATGTTCTACTCGCCTGAATGTTCTAGGAAGAATGTTCTAGCAACCCACGCGGGTACATAAGGGACTCCGGATAGTCTTGCCCCAGCTCTCGACCCTGCTGTTTCGCCGCCATCGACACCTGCAACGCTAGCCTTGTTTTATTTTGTTTTGGGCACATTTCTGCCTCAGTTTCCGTCGCCCCATCAACTGTCATTCGTGACAACATTGACTGACTCGGTGCTTTTTGATGATTTTCCTCGTGTCTCTAATTAAAACCATAGGTTTGTTTTCGATAATATAGAGCATTAATTAATCTATTCTATTTTTTATCCGAGTGATCGTTACGATCATATCCCTATATTTTGTTTCCCCGGACGTATGACGCACCTGCGAAAACCGCATTAGTAGCTTGCGCGGCTTTCTCTAAAAAAATCTGTTATGATAGAAAGAAAACACCCCGGATATGTCGAAGCCGGGGGCGTTTATTACCGCATCCACCTGCTCTGTTTCACAAGGCTGTAGTTTCACTTTGCGTCCAAGCACAGCTGGCACTACGGTCCGATAGACAAGCAGTGCCAGATAGGCGTCGTCCCAGCGCTCACTGACGTTTCCGAGTCCGCTTTCACCGGCTAAAACAATCGCGCACACACAGAAAAAAAGATTAGGATAATTGCGCATTTGTTGTGAGTCATTGGTTTCGTCGGTGTTTTCAAACGTCCAAAAACGCCCTGGCAATGCACCTTTAGCGCAGCTTGATTGTCTTCATAGCGTCGGCTGCGTTCGTACTTGTGCCCGAGTCCCACTAGAGCGACAAACAGAAACAAACGACAGCGACAAGCCTCAAACACACGCAGCATGCTTGCTATGGTACCTTCGGCAGGCGTTGAGTCGTTCATTGCTCGAGAAGTAAGCTCAAGTGATTGCGAGCCTCGCGTGCATGGTGCTCGGGTGTGAGCACAGCCTCCTTTATTCTATAAAACCTGTGAAATCGCGAAAGAATTTGGTTTGAGGCTCTTCGCTGTCAATTGTTTCCGTTTGTCGCTCAAGTGGGACTTGGGCATTAATGTGAAAGACAGCCTCCGGCGCGTCGTCGTCCATTTCCTGGGTACACCCCCGGGAACGGACATCGGACCAGCTCTGGAGCAGAAGGCGGTCGAGACAAACGCATCTTTTCGCCCTCGCTTTTACGACTGACATTGGAACGCGGTCAGCAGAAAGCGATTCGAGCGGGCCTCTCGGACGCGTGAAGCGTCTAATGGAGCCGCGACTTCCGCCCCTGCGCTTCCTCCCTCCGCTTTGTGTGTGTGTGCGCTGCAGCTTTCTTCTCGCCACGGACTTCAGGTATAAAAGCCGGGGGGACTCGGACCAAACGTCACCACTGGCCTGCTGAGATGCGAGTCATGCGAGCCTCCGTGAGTATAGCCTCCGTGCGGTGCGCCGAGGTGCAATGGGCCTCTGCCCTGACGCTTCCGACTGTCTCCCGTGTTCGCGGTCTTAGCCTCCAAGCTCTCCTCCTGCTTGAAGAATTCGCATGAGCCGAGACTTCCAGCTCGCATACAGCCCGAGAAGCAACAAAATATTTCAACGCTCCTCCGTGCTTTCCACCCTCAACTTTCCGCTCTTTATTTTAGACTAACATAGGGTCCGTTTCACACTAAGTTCCATCGCATCGTATGAGAGGGAGTGTAGTGTGTTCTCTTCAGAAGATAGCAGATGACGAACGGGCGGTAGGTCGGAGTCGAGAAGATCTTTCTTCTTGTGTTAATTTATAAGCCAATGCGTCTTAGGGCAAATATTTCTGCCATTCCAATGGGACCGAATGATATGAAAGTATCATTTTAGTAGTAACGCGGCGTGATAACTAATTTTGTGGAATTTACACCCCTTATATAGGTTACAATCCTATAAGATTACTTAGGAATCATTCTACATTATTACAGAAAACAACGAATGTTTCTGATAATGCATACTTCCGACTACGAGCAACCCCGTCTTAATGATGAGCTTTCAAATTGCCTATGCTCAAGAGCAATGGCTATATAGTGTGCTGGCACAACTCTAATTCTCTATATTTCTAAATAAATGTGGCGATAACTAATTTGCATACACATATCTGGTACGTGAAACGCATTTCACAATTTCTGAAGGTATAAACCACCATACTGATTTTTTTTTTTAACTTGAATATAATGTTTTCCGTCACTAAGCGCTCATCGAATTTTACGCCAACCTCATTAACCTTGGAAAAAAAAAAACATTCGTTTAAAGAAAATTGTCAGATATACGCCAAGAGTAAGAAAAAAACTGAAAGTAGTAATTTCTATTGATTGATTGACTTCCCGGCGGCTATAGAAAGGCTCCGGCAAATACAACCACGCAGTGTGGCTTAATGGGAGGCATAGTCGGTTGAAAGTAATATTTGGTGTAATAACCATTATAGAGAATACCAAAACACGACCATAAGGCACTAAGCGTTTTTTTTTTTTTTTTTGCATGGAAAACGGGGGATGGAACATAAGATATGATCTCGAAAACCTCCAATGATTCAGATCGGCATAGTTGGTAAAGAAAGAAAAAATTGCGAAACTAGATTCTCCCAAGATTTAACCTCCAAGTAACTTAGTATAAATCTCAAAAACTGCTTGATTTTGGCACTGCTGAGAAAATGGAGATAAAAAGATTGCTTTAGAACTTATACACATACAGCTCAAATGTGATGTGTACCTATTTTAGATAACCAAAGTATTTCAAATTGTAGGACGCCTCGGTAGCTCACGATAAAGGTTGGGACAATTTACGGGACAAAGTCCACCTAAAGAATTGAAACTGAATTGTAACCAATTGAAAAGAACAACCCCCGAGGAGTTAAGCGAAGTTGTGTCGAACTCGACATTCAAAGCGCACCGTTATGTAAGGAGGTTGAAAAGTTGAACGCCTGTGTCAATATAAATAACTGCTTCATTAGACCACCTTCTGTCGGCCGTGGTCTACTGGGTTGTGAAGCGCGTTTTGTGCATTCACAGCAACTCCCTTCTGCGGGCTCTCAAACGCTGCGGGGACATTCACAGTCCCCGGACTGAGTATTCTCTCGCCTTGGTTTAAAGCTCAGAAAAAAGGAGTGGCACTCCGAAACAAAGGCGGACATATCACAGTGTTAACAGGTTATTCAATTTTCCCTCTCTTTAAGTCTTAGTCACTCATAGCTCATAACTCATAGCTGCAGATATTATGAGAAAAATATCTGCGGACGCACCTGTTGGAAGTCAGTTTGTCTCCGGCTGCTTGAAACATGTCCGCAGGCACTGTTTGTATTCCCAGTGTGATTGGATAAAAGAAAAAAAAAAGACGCTTGAGACAAGGCCTAAACGCTGTGTTTTATATGATGTATTAGCAGTATTAGATATCTCAATCGAGAAGTATAGAATCGCCTCTCACGCCGCTCTTTCCACAGGTCGTGATCTTCTCCAGCCTTCTGGCCGTGGCCTGCGCCGGTCACTTCGGTGGTGGAGGAGGCGGCGGCCATTTCGGCGGCGGTGGATTCGGCGGAGGCGGCTTTGGCGGCGGCGGCGGTGGTGGATTCGGCGGCGGCGGTGACGACGGCGGAAGCGTGGGCGTCGCCTCGGTCTCGTACGTCAAGACCCCGGTGGTGAGCGTCAACTACGTCGCCAAGCCCGTGGTCAGCTACGTCGCCAAACCCGTGGCCACCGTCTCGCACGCGATCAAGCCGGTGCTCACTTACACCACGGTGTCCCACGGCGGAGGTGGCTTCGGAGGAGGCGGCTTCGGAGGAGGTGGATTCGGTGGTGGCGGATACGGTGGTGGGGGCGGCCATGGCGGCTGGTGGTGATTCCGTCGGGAAACCAACACCCCAAAAAACGTTTGGGTCGTTCTCGTACCCTCGTGCGCGTTGTAAATTTATCGACGATATGTCCGACGCCCATCACGCTGGCAACACCAACGGCAGCGGTACCGGATGCACGCAAAGCCCGCGAGTGCAAGCAACAGCCCCGCGCGCCAATGGAAGTTGGCCATGGAGGAGAAATACCAATAAAGTGTAATTTTACTGAACAGATGTCGCAACGTTCCATTCTCATGTCGATCTTTTTTAGTTAGACCCATTTTCATTTGTACTTCTTTGTTGGAAACGTCCCTTAACATTCTAACAAATATTTACTTGCATTTGGGATAATTCTTCTTTGACCCGTTTGCGTCGCATCCAAATGACACTAATTCGGCAGCTCTGTAGCTTTTATACACATTAAGGGCTTAAGAAACACTGGGCGTGGTCAGTCTCGAGAATCTTATTAGCGCTCCGCAGGCACTCAGATTGTGACCCGATAAGAACGTCGGTGATACATCCCAAACCAAAAAAAGCGTGAACACAATAAGAGGCGCATTTCTTAGGCAATCGGTGACCATGGTGGCTACCTTGCTTTTATTATAGGACTTCAGAATGGGTATTATTGGCAGTATAGATCACATGTCGTTTTCTTTCTAGATTCTGAGACATATATATATATATATATATATATATATTGTCTGTATTAAAAAAAAGCATGTGAGTTTTTTTTTTTTTTTTACACGAATATTTTTTAAACACACGAAGAGATAGATTCGTGCCATAGAAATATGAGCAAATACGCGGTGCATAAAAGGCCTACAGTTCGCTTCCCTCCAGAAGAGGGTGGCAGCCAATGACGGCCAACGAGGGAAGGGTACCAGGGAATAACAATACGTAACCAAATTATGTTTCACACCGCCCGCTAGGAGCGCTAGCTGTCAGTAGTGTATCTGGGCCGCTGGGGCCTTATGGCAGTGTCCTCCCTTTACTCTGTGTATATTAATCTATGATGCCACTGCGTCCGCAACTTCAGGGGGAACGAGCCACTCCTGGAGAGAATGAGGTTGGGAACTGGGTGCGAGGGTGTCAAGGTGTTGCTGGCGGGATAGAAGGGTGCATGGGCAGTCCCAGAGCACCTGCGGTGTGTCAGGGTATCCCGAGCAATCAGCGCATCTGGGCTGGAGGGGTTGTTGTTGTTTGCGGGTTTCATGACGCAACAGCAACGGAGGCCATACTGCGGCAGACTAAATTAACCAATGAAGCTCCTACGGTCACGTCATTACAAAAAGTTGATCATGCAAATAGCTGGACTAAATCTAGTGTATGATGCCAGTACTAGTAATAAATGATAAAACTCAATCAAGAGGAACGAGAGGGTGCTTTCCCAGCAAGAGAGCGGAATGAAATGGAATACAAAATCTAAAAAAACTCTGGAAAATGAGCACGTCGTTCAGTATCGAATTCCGGGCAGAGCCACAAAATATGGAGAATAGTAAGATGGTCTCCACAGTGCTCACAAACTGGTGGATCCTCCCCACAGAGGAGCTATCTGTGTGTAAGGAAAGAGTGGCCGATTCGAAGCCGGCACAATACAACTTCGTGAAGGCGGTTCTTAAGTGAGGAGCTTTCCCATGACCCAAGGACTGGTTTGCTTACATGGAGCTTGTTATTAGTATATTCTTAGTCGCTTTTAGAGAGCATATTGCAGTAATGGCGCTCTGAGAGTCCACAAATATTACGGCCCGTCTAGTTTTAGTCTTCAGAATATAATCCAACGCAAAAGACACAGCATAGATTTAAGCAGTAAATATACTCGCAAATTCCTCTAGACATTTAACTCTAACAGAACGACCTGAATGCAGGGCACAACCGATAAAAGATGAAGTCTTTGCAGCGTCCGTGTAAAAGTGAGCATAATTTTTATATTTCTCTTCCAGTTGAAGGAATTCCTGCTGAATCGCAAGAGCTGGTATGCTATTCTTATTAAACTTAGTTAAAGTCCAGTCGCAAAAAACACACACCACATTCCTGGGCGCAACGCAGACTGTGTTCTGAATTAGGTTAAGTTCTTCCAGACGAAGTTGGAGTGAGGAACGAAATTGCTCTATACGAAAACTTAAAGGTCTGACAATGCTTGGCTTATTTTCAAAGAGACGGTAGAATTGAGACATTTGTGCGGAATGATACGTTGGGTGATCAGGGTTTGCTAGGATCCTAGACGTGCAGGTTAGGCTGAGGTATTGACGTTTTTTACACAGCGACATCTCATTTGATTCCGCATACAAACTAAGTACAGGCGACGTCCGAAAAGCACCCGTTGCCAAACGCAAACCAAGATGATGTACAGGATCCAACATCTTGAGAGAAGATGGGCGAGCTGATCCGTACACCACGGCGCCATAATCAAGACGAGATTGCACAAGCGCCTTGTACAAATACAAAAGACATTTCCGATCCGACCCCATGATTTTTGAGCCAAAACTTTCAGAACGTTTGTGGAACGAAGGCGAATTTCCTTGAGAAATTTCAGGTGGGAATGAAGGTATGTTTTTTGTCAAATATAATACTAAGAAATTTGTGCTCCTTCCTAACAGGAATCAGAGTCCCGTTTAGTTCCAAAGCTGGGTCTAAGGAGAGCCCGCGACGTAGGGAAAAAGGCAGACAGACTGTCTTTGCAACAGAGAATTGGAAACCATTTTCGTCTGCCCACTTACAGAGTTTGTTTATAGCCAGTTGTAACTGCCGCTCACGACTAGAAAGATTGCAAGAAGATGAGGAGATCTCTATATTGTCAGTATAAAGAAAGTAGGAAATAGATTGAGGTAACATTCGTGCGATAAAATTCAATTTTAGTACAAACAAAATAACGCTCAAAGTGCCTCCCTGTGGGACTCCGTTTGTGTGAACAAAAGTTTTAGACAGGGTGCTGCCAATCCGGACCTGAAAGGTTCTGTTTGTTAGACAGTTCTTAATGCATTGCAACATCCCACCACGGATATTGCAAGCATACAAGTCTTTCAAGATATCCATGTGGTACCATACGCCTTGTCTAAATAAAAAATACTGCAACACAGTGCTGCTTGTTCACAAATGCCTCGCGTATAACGGTTTTCAGGCGAGCCAAATTATTGAGAGTAGATCGACCTCGGCGGAACCCACACTGATTTTTGTCAAGTACCTTTTTGCTTTTATGATATGTATACAAACCGCCTGTTTATAAGCCTTTCAAATGTTTTCCCAACACCGCTCGTCAGAGCAATTGGGTGGTAACTCGATGGTAGTGAAAGGTCTTTCTGTGGCTTTAGCAGCGGGATGACATGTGCAAGCTTCCAGGCATGGGGAAAGCAGGCTTTTCCCCACCATAAATGGAAGAACAAAACAAGGCTTTTCAGGGACTCAGGAGAAAGGCGACGAAGCATTTCATAATAAACTGTATCGGGCCCTGGAGCAGAAACCCTCGTTATGTCGAGTGCCATTTCAAGTTCACACTGCGTAAAAGGCTGGTTATAAGGCTCCGAGTCTCCGCAGACATGGAGATGTTTTGTCGCTCTGCACAAGATTTAAATCTACTGAATGAATTGCTGTAGTTTGCTGAGCTGGATATATTATAAAAATGTTCACCAAGGATGATGCCGATGTCAACTAAAGATGAAGAAGGGGCATCAAGAGTAGGGATTTATTTATTTTCTTGTATCTATCCCAAACCTTCTTGGCTGGCACAAAACTATTTATAGAAGAAACATACTTCATCCAGGATTTCCATTTTGACTGCTGTTTGGTCCAACGGGCTTTAGCTGTCCGCTGCCTGAACTCTGCGAGATTACGTGATTTGGGATATCTGCGAAATTTGCCCCAAGCCCTGTTTTGATCCGCTAAGGGTGTGGCACACTCCTTCCACCATTGTTGGCATTTTTTGACACATTACCAGAGGTTCGTGGAATATACACCTCAGCAGCATTTAGTATCTGCTCTGTAATATACAGTGTAGCATCTTCGGGTGACATAGAAGAATGCAGAGAAGGGTCCAAAGTGGAATTTAACCCAAAACGGTGATCAGTCAGTTTTATCTAACTTCCACCTAGAGATTCGTTTCAAAAGTGAGGGCAGCTGAATAACGCTCCCTAAAACAATCGGAAAGTGATCACTGCCAAAAGGGTTGTTGAGAACATTCCAAGTAAATCAAGAAAACAATGAGGGGGATGAAATCGAAAGATCTACGGATGTAAATGTGGTGTAAGCTGCACTGAAAAATGTTGGCTCTCTCCCATTAAGACAGCATAGCCCAGATGCCAATAAAAGACGTTCGACTACACCTCCACAAGAGTCTTAACGAATACTACCCCATAGGGGGTGATGGGCATTAAAATCGCCTAGAATAATAAAGGGTTGTGAGAGCTGACCTACAAGACCCTGTACTAGAAAACAAAAAGTATAAAACAGAGAGAGGACGAAACACAGACGAGTACAATCTTTTTTGTACTCGTCTGTGTTTCGTCCTCTCTCTGTTTTATACTTTCTGTTTTCTAGTACTTCGTACCAACACGCTCGTTAGGAATATAAGACCCTGTAATTCACTAAGATGTAATGGAGTGTTAGGTGGTAAATAAAGTGATACTACAATTATGAGGCAATCCAAAAGAAGGCGCACTGCCACGGCTTCAAGTGGTGAACAGAGTGGGACCTCAGAGCAGGCGACCCCACCCTGTACAACCACTGCCACGCCACCAGAGGGAGTATCACTAAGACGGTCTTTCTAAAGACCCGGTGACGTCTTAAAATATGAGGAAAGCGATCATGAAGATGAGTTTCCTGAAGAGCAAGAGCTAGTGGCCGAAGCTCATCCATGAAATGATTTATATCATCAATATTTCTTAAAAGGCCGCGACACTTCCATTGCATAAAATTTACTTTTGCCATTTATAAAGTTCGTTTATATCGGAAAATGTAAATCAATAAAACTAGGTAGTAAAAAGATTAAAACTAGGGAGAGAAACAACTTGGATTACTTCGGCGCAGTTACCGTTTCTCTTTTTTTTTTTTTTTTTTTTCTTCCCTGCACGGGTCTGCGTCTGCCACTCCATGCTATCCGAGTCAGAAGCAGGAGCAGCCGAATCGTCTATCTCCGTG